CTTTGGGGGGCCCAAAATTATTTTTAAAAAAATTTTTTTCCAAACCACAAAAAAAAAATTTTTTTTTTTTTGGGGGGGTAAAAGGGGCCACCCCCCCCGCCCCCCCGCCTTATGTAGTACCGCCCCTGGACTTGAGTATCCCAAATTGAGCTCCAAATGTGGACCCCATGAAGAGAACCGAGTATCAGTAGCAGGAGGATATGGGGTAGCTAGAGAATCGGACCATGGCATACCTGGAACGTAATCATTCGTAGATGGACCAACTAAATCTGTAAATGTGGGTACCTGAGATGTAGACGCACCGAACATATCCATAAATCCCTGTGTAGTAGATAAATCGTCCATACCTCCATGCACATAAACATCTGCATAAAAGGGTGTATGAGAAGCAAATGGACCGGCAACATCTCCAGATGGAGGTACCCGAGATGTAGATGCATAATAGTTCCCCTCTCTCGTCTGTCTCACGTCATGCTTCAATTCAGTAGCTCTTTCGGCAGCGCTGGACCTTCTTCTGGTACGTCTATCTCGATGCGGAGAAGGTATAGGAGGTATGGCAGGTATCGGAGGTAAGCTGGACGAAGCACCATCTCTACGTAGAAGTTGAGTCCCAGCTGCATACATCCGTGTAGCGTTGTCCTGATACAGATCATATATCCGATCGTCATCTCGAGAAACTGCCCTAGCAGCAAGACTCATGGATATAAGCTGATTACCCTGAAATAAAAGGCATTACAAGTTTAAGAACTTAAAAAACTGAAAAAACAAATTGAAAAACATCGAAAGTAATGGTTGTTTTGAGAAAAATACTAACCACAAGATCCAGTAAAATCGGGTCTCCGACCTGAAAACCGATATCATCAAGATTGTCAATCGGTGATATCAAACGACGTGTGTGCCTCTCATACCACTCGTAGTATCCTGGATCTGTCTGAGGCCCACTAATCTCAATAAATGGATAGTCAACGGGAGAATCAAGTCGGCCATGCCATCTATCAACATAGATACGGTGAAAACGAGCCCAATCTCTACCCCCTGCACCTCGACGATCATAAGAATGCAACTTAATCTCAATATCGTGATCAGTAGGATGTGGTGGTATATGTTGTACCCTCCCAAACTGACGTAGCACCCTATACGGACGATGCATCTCAACTCTCTCGTAAAATATAAGGGGACAACTCGACAACCAAAGCTGTGGATTCACTATCTCAGGATACTCAAGTAAAGCGCCAAACTCAGGATCTAGTTCACTATAAGGCATCCATGTAAACTAGAAAAAAAAAATTTAATATATTGTTAAATAGACCACAAACATTAACGTAATTGCTGTTAACATATAAAGAACCTGATCCCAGAGCATCCGATCGAGCGTCGTACGATAAACACGTATATTGTTTCGCGAGGACCGAGTGTGACTAGTAGGTCTGATCCAACTGTAATATCATATGAAAATTTGCTAAGTCAATATATTAACCTTCATATAAATAAATTATTAGTACTAAGATGTTTACCGCGCACCATAAGGAGGGTGGGGATATGCAAGCCGACGGGGATCATCTTCTACTACTGGTACTATTGATGGAGCGAGTAAAGGTATCCTCGACCATGCCCAACACTAATTATTAAACATAAAAAATATAAAAAACCGCAAGTATAATAAACTATTAATTTAAATTTTAAAAGTATCAAAAATCATATTACCTGTAACAGAGTAAGCGCACCACCTAGATTAATTTTCCTCTTATCCAACTCAAGAGTGTCGTCTTGTTCCACAACTTTCCTAAGTAAAGCCCCAGTGCATAGCTCACGATACAAATATCCAAGAACTGCACTACCCCAACTGAAAGTACGCACTGCCTCAAGATCTTCGAAATGACGAAGATACAACAACGAGATTGCACTTGAAGATGTGTCAGGACACATAACCCCCCCAAGTAGCAATAACAGTAAACACCTGGTATGCTACTGAACACGCTGCTCTGTGCTATATTCCAATAACAATAGGAGCTCTTATAAGTCAAAACATATTGACATAAAATTCATAGTTGTGAAAGAAAGAGTACAAAGTGGTGAAATTTCTATAGAGCACATTGAACAAACTCCATGGTTGCGGATCCCCTTACTAAGGGAGTAGCACCAGAGGTCTTTCATGGGCACACTGCTCATATGAGTGTTATATCACTTAAGGTCTTAAGGATATCATGATTTAGTAGGAGTTTGTATTTTTATACATTTTTTGTGCTTTAGTTACTTTTGGATAATACTTTCGTATTTGAACATTTTCTGCAGAAATATAATAAAGTATTCAGTTTATTACACTTTGTATATTTAGGTTAAGGTTCATATCAATTAAGTTTAAGTTGGGACCAGTTGAAAATAGACATGCTACGATCACATTTCATGTAATTTTCATGCTACACACCATAACTTCATCTATGTCATTTGGTTATATTGGTATGTGTAACTACTGTTGGGTTTAGCACGCTCAATGTGGTGAAAGCTTCTTTAATCCCATATCAGTATAGTCAATGGACGAGATTGTTAAAGAATACCCTATTATATGATAACAATATTTGACGTCATAAGGTGTACACATTTATAAAGAAGTTAACATATGTGGCCCAAGTGGGAGATTGTTGGAATTATTTCAATAATTATATGGGCTCACATATGTAATTAAATGTGTATGGCTATCTATCGGATAATCTAATTAAAAATGATTAATTAAAGTTATTTGGATTAGATTAATGGGTATTGGAACAATGTTGTGGGCCCAATGTGTAAAGACAAATAAAGTACAATTAGGTTTTATTGATGCGGCTGAACCCTAATGGTAATTCTATATAAAGGGTCGTGGTCCCCAAAGAAACACATCATTCCTTCTCTACTGCTAATCCGTCGACCAGAAGAGAAAACAAAAGGAACTGTGTATTCTTTGGAAGACCGCCTCTCTTCCGACTTCAAGTATTCTACAAGGTTCTATGGATTTAAGATTTAAGTACGCTTCCGCTTATTCGTTCTTGTTCTTTTCGATTGATGCTTGATGGTCTTGGGATTTATTCGAGTATATGTGAATTAATTCTAACGGGCGAGTCTTCCTCCAAGGCGAGCACCCAACTTTTAGAAAGCGAGCTCTCGCTCCGCATAGACACGAGAACCGGCTTCGCTCGCCAGAGGTCCTATGTGAAAGTTACGATCAAAATAAATCAAGTAGTAAGAATACATAATCTTATTGTCGGTACAGTAAGACAACCGACCGTAAAATTAAGACAATAATGGATCAGTTACCACAAGCCTTCTGTCGTGTGGGCGATTTCATATTCCATTTTACATTTCTCCTCCCTCTTTTTTATTCTCTCATGTTTTGTTGCCTCTGTTATGGCGCTTCATTTTTCTCATGTGTTCAACTATCGGCCTGAGTAGACGAACGGACCTTTATCAATATGCAAATATGGGTGTGACTTTTGTAGGTCGGGTTACGGTTGACAATCGATATTGTTATCGGTTGAGAAAATAGATAGCCGTGTTATTATGTTCAAAATACTTTATATTTAAAATGTAGATTAATAATTAAATAAATTGCTCATATGATTATTTAATTAAAATTTATAAAAATAATATTTTACAAAATTTATCTTTCAGCCCACTTTTTCAAAAAATTAACTACTACGAGTTGATTCAACTATTCATAGGTTGGTTGAAATTTATTGACTCGGGTAAATCTGTTTTTGATTGATGATGGATTACCAATCACAATTTATTGGTAAAAAAATGGTCGGTTGTCCTATAAAACCGAGTCATGACAGCCCTTCTTTCATACGAGCGATTTGTTCTTCCATTTTTTTTATTCCTCCTCTCTTTTCCATTCCATCCTGTTTTGTTGCCGTCATTATTGCGCTTCATTTTTCTCCTCCTTTAATTTCCTCTCTATTTTTATCCACCGAAGCTCTGCGACATATTGATGGCAAAATGATCTATGATATCATATTTGTTGGAATTTTAATTAAGCGAATGAAAATTGTAGGAACTCTTTTTAAACCAATGCATTTGTTCAAATTCGAGGAGACGTGTCTCTTAAACTGAAGAGACTAATCTTATGAATGAACAATGAACAGACACTTCTCCCATCAATGTGTCTTGCTAGGAAGAGACTTCTGAAATTATAAATAAAGACTGAATCTGGTCAATTCAGCATACGATTTTAAGGTATTTCAGACACACTACTTCGCCTAACTTTTTGTCACAATTTCGTCCATACTTTTCAAGTTTGTTGCGGGCTTCTAATTGTGCAAATATTGAAGTACCCGACTGTCGTATCCTACGAGACTACTAGGAAGAGCTTGTTCCATCGTAGACAACGCAAAAATATTGTCTTAAGGAGATTCTTTATGCAAGTCTCAGTCAATTTGTCATTTTCACATTTCGGGTCTAATTTATGTTTCCATGTGCAATTCTTAATCAATTTGTTAAACATATTGTTGTTATTGATACACCAACAATATCAACATACAAAACATTTATATTATTGTAACTAAAATAATCAACGAAGTACAAGTAACCAATACTTGAAGGATACTTTTTAAACCGGAAAGTGATTGCAGAAGGAACGGAATCTACAATGTTGTTTTGAAGGATGAATTTTGGGTTGACAAAATATGCTTCTCCGAGCATTTCGCGAATATTCTTCGGCTGCAGTTCAAATGGCCTGAAAACTTTGTTCGGTGTCGAAAACATTCAAGAAATAGGAATAATGCATCACAAATCACAATTTCGTTCCCAATAAAAAAATACAAATCGTAAATCTTGTCTTACACTATTCAGTGTTAAAATCAATAAATAATCTCATAAGATTACACAACCTGAATACAATTACAAGAATCAGCTCAAATAAAAAAAACCCAAACCTGAAGAATCAATTAATTCAACTAATCTAAAAAAAATCAACCAAAAGCCCCTACACACTAGAAGAATATATTCATGATGGTCTCCTTACCAATAACAAATCCAGGGAATTCGACAATTCCCATAATTCTGCTCCTGGGTTTCTTGTAATTTTTTTCATTCGAAAACCAGGAGACAAGAATCACAATCGGGTCTATACATCGTATTTCTTGGGTTGCCACCATTGTGCAAAACTTCTTGACAAAGATAGAAGGAAAGAATAATTGTTTGAACCTCCTTTCTTCCCATACAAATGCTTTCCTCCTAAATCCGTGAACTTAGGTCCCTTATCCTTGCTTCGTTCGATCTGCAGAGAAAAACGCAAGTTTAGTTGTTACAAAATTTGGCGCTCTCGATTCTCTAAAAGCCAAAAGCTTTGTTTCTATTGTTATGATCCATTCATATACAACAAGCAACAACTACATATTGGAATACTACTAATTGTCAGCACCATCTTATTCCAAGCGCATTTACAAAAGGAAAATCACAACTCTAATTGATAAATGAGTTACTATAATTTGCATACTAAGCGAGATGTGATTGTGTACTGAAAAGTGGTCTCGAAAAGCAGTACCTTGTGCACCTTCCCATCCTTTAAATGATATCGGATGCCTGACCAATTGATGGATTGAGACAAATGTGATCGTATTGCAGATACAGGATATAGAAAATTGTCAACCACCATAGCAATGAATACCTGTTCCATTGGAAATCAAGCAATTATTTTCAAATGTACGGAAGGACATGTTAAAAGGCCGATAACTTAGACAAGAATTAAAATGCATGTCTGAATTTTTGTTCATCCCGAGGAAAGTACCAAACAGTTGATTCAAATCCGTCTTGATGTAGTCTTCTCTATACTTATTAATCATCAATAATTGTCTATAAGAAATAGCTCAAAAATTAGGAAAGAAGAAATGAACTTACGAGACACCAGTTATATGATGCAAGTGATAACGGAGGAGCCTCTGGGGACAACAAATTGCAAAGCTGGACTTCTATTCTCGTCAAGTTCCACATGGAAAGAAGTTCGATAACTGTACATGTCGCAAGGCCACCAACAAACCGCAACCCTGATACAAATTAAATAGACACAAAAATTGTAAGGTGCTTCATTTTTAAATTCGACCAGATACACACTTAATTATTCTGCAATAAGATCCTGCAAACTAAATTTGTATACACTTTTTATTCATATATACAGAGAACTGATACACTTACCAGTACATGGCAAAGTTGCTTCACCAAATGAGTACCCCTTAAAGTAAAGTCTCAGTGCTGCAGCGACATGTACCCCAGCCATTATATACGGAGCCACAAATCCCCATGACGCGTAACAGTGGAAAGAGAATAATGCCCTATTCATAAGCCAGTTGAATTTTGTCGTATAAGACTCCAAGACAAATGTTTGCTTCCTCAAATAATTCCAGTACCTACAGACACAAAATTGGATCTATTAAAGCTGGAAAACCAATTCCAACGGGATCCTTTTATCTTTCTTTTGAAAAAACTAAACGACCATTTCTTATTTGAAGATCAAGTTTCAAAACGTAGAGGACACCTGCCAAAGCTAAGATCACTTGCAAGTGGATGGGGGAAAACGGCAACTGGAGGTGATGTTATGAGTCTCTCGTTGGCCTCTGTAAAAAATAACAGAATCAGCCATGTACAAAATGCATTCCATTCAATGCCTAAAAGTAAAATGTCAAAAAATAAATGTTTAAAATAATTTATTAACTGCACATTAACTCCTTCAGGAACGTAGTAAAAGATGGACAGAAAGAAAATATGTTACTCGCAATAGCTGCAAGAGTCATGTCATCTGAATAGCCTCCATCTCGAAGTCCTGAAACGAGACCGTGACGATCTGTTCTAAAATCATCTGCATGCATCTGCAATTTAGAAAAATTATTTCATATAAAGTTCTTCAAAACGTAACACATATCGGATATTTTAACTACACATAAAATGCTTACCATCATGCATCCTCCCCACAAAAAGAATGTCTTTCCACCGGTGGCAAACCCCATAGAACAAGGCTACATTGTAAAAAAGAAGGCCCGTGATTAAAGTTGCAATAGGTTTAAACAAAACCAGATTCTGGAATACCAAATTGGACAGAAATCTCCTAAAGCTATTGAGGATTGTCATTCCCATTATTTGATTAATTTCTACAGATGACAAATAGAAGATGCACTACATTTCAAGATGTAAGAAACTTCAACTCTTACAATGTACGGAATGACAGTCCCTATCTACTATTTAAAGGAAAATGAATAAATGAATACATACATAGCTCATACTATTTTTAATTGTCAAGAAAGTTATGGAACAACAAACTTCCTTGTGAGAACCTTCTAATAGCAATATATTCCAATATTTACAAGTATAGGTAACTACATGACTATTTCATCAACATGCCCTTCAAACTGCTATTTTTATCCCCCAGCCCCCTCCAACAAAAATTAAAATGTAAAACCTCAGTCCTTGTTGAAACAATAAGTATTTATTTTATTTCCATGTGGGATAAAAACTGCAAACAGGAAGCTATCAATAAGAATTGCTAACATACCATGTGATATTCGTATATGCAGTAACTTCCTAAACTTCCAGAGGGTAAATCAAGAGGATATCCAGTTTGAATAAATATCTGCAGAGTTTAACGGGTAAAGAGCCAAGAATTAATCATAACGAACATATAATAGAGATTTTAGAGCATTAGTCAAGAGTCATGACAAGAACTAAAACAGTATATTAAGTAATGATGTAAAAGTTTATATATAGCTTACATCTGGGTTCTTTTCCATTTCAGTGGTGAGAGCTCCAATTGAGCCAGGATGCAGACTAACATCATCATCTAGAAATAACACATACTTAGTATCTTTCTGCATTTTATTTACCCCCACCTGCAAATTTTAAATGCTATACATTAAATGCAATACCTAAGCAGAATGTGAAATAGCAATAATGAGAAAAATGAATAAGTGAAAAACAATGTCCAATTGCTTCTTTTTTATAGAGATTGCTGAAGGTAATGTGCAAACAGTGAAGCTCAAACAGTAGAACTGTAACAATTGAACTCCATTTTATTTTGTGTCTACTTACTTCTTTCTGGAAGGATTTTGTATTTTACCATTTCAAGAAATTATGAAACCTACATAAGAAGCTTGTAGCCATATAAAATGCACACTCGTTTCAAATGCCAAAATGCAACTTCCAGAAAGGATAGTGAACATCTTATGATGATGTGATATGTCTCATTGTTTAGAGCTTATTAGATTATAGATGTTTCACGGTTATGAAAAAAAGAAAAATAAATTTACAGAAAACAAATCCATTTAAACCACTGAAAGTATTCTATACCAACTGATTGTGAATCTTCTGACTACAGGTTGTTGACAAACCAGCGACTACAACTATGGCTTCAACATCATCCTGCACAATTATATGCTCACGTGAGAAAAATTAACTGAAGTTTTCTAATGAGTAAAAAAACGAATTTAGGCATATAGCAGCATTATTCGAGATACAGCTTATACTTCAAATTTAGTAGGAAAGAAAGATGGAGACAAAAGGGTCAATACATCAGTCGCAGGTAGAAAAGAAAGTGCAAAGTTAAATAATAATGAACATTCTTTAGAGCACATTGTATATCAAAATTCCAAAAATGATCAATATGGCTTCGTAAACCATAAACAATAATTAAATAGCCCAAGCATAACGGAATATAATGCAGAGCTATTTGCCTTATCCTCCACTGTATCATTTCTCTATCATGCAAGCAACTTCTATCAAATATTTGAATTGCATCTTAAATTGCAAAATTCTTATTTCCTCCATTGATGGGTAAGATTAGATAAGTCTTAACATCATTTATTTCAGCTTTAACAAATTCTAAATTTATCCAAACTAAGATTCTTCACTTTCAACCTCGAATCATATCCAAGCATACGTAATCACTGCATTTCAAGAACAGCAAGATTACGAAAAAAACGTTTTGTCACAGTTAGCACAGGAATTTTAAGAATTTGACCAAAGTTAAATCCTTGAACTTGAATTTCCAATCCTAAACAAGAAAATATGATGACTACATTGTGTACACACTCATAGATTGCATTGATATGCATAATTAGTGAATGCAGTCATGTGAACAGTAGAGAATACAAGCTTACAGCTTTCAATGTATATGTACGTGATGGGAGGAAACAAGACCTTATATTCTTTTAGCAATCTGGAGACCGCATGATATGCAGGGTCTTCTGTACTTTCAACCACAAAAATAAATTCCAGGGGACCACCATATAAAGATGTAATCTGCAGCATCCATAAATAAAACCCATAATCAACACCAATATTTGTCTACTGTTTCCTGTTCGTGTAATGATGTGGGCTATTAGAGTTACAAATTCCAAAAAACTGAAAAGGGAAATCAATATGCTAAAAGTAACTACAATCGAAAACAACAATCCTGTTTTTTCAATCATAACTAACAGAAAACTGAAAAAGAAAAGCAGAGGCAATTAACCATATAAATATGAGTTTGTTTCGGTTAATAGCTATATTTCTTTAGTTGCAAGTATGTTTACTCTCAAAACGTTCTTATGTCAGGCTAGAGCAGTTCATTACTGATTGGATCTACCGAAGTTTCAAAGACAGTGGATTATGTTCCCATCTATCATGGATGAGCATTAAAAACTTTAAGAATAGTTCACCTGACTTCGCCAGTTGTGAAGATTGTGTTCCCCGAAACCCTTCAAAGGCATTACCACTGAAACCCTTGGCAAATTGACCTGATTAGAATGCTCGAGCTCATTGATATCATGACAAAGAAAAGCAAAGTGATGGCCCCTCTTCACGCTTTCCTTCATCCGTCTTATCTCTTTATTCCTGGGACAACAAAAAAAATCGTTGGTAATTTGATAAACAATGAGTATAGTAATGAGAGCTAAAGTATGGAGTGACGAGTGTATGTTATTAGCACTTAATCTGGAATTTACACCATCATACTCCAATACCTGACATAGGAAGCCAAAGCCCAGCCAAGGGCGAGGAGTAAGCAAATGCAAAAGCCCTGCAACATGGAAAAAAAAGAAGTTTTTTAACTTATTCCGGAATTTCTCATGCAGAAGCAGATCTGAAGAGATCTAAAGTAATAAACTTAACAATGGCAACCGAGAATTTTTCTGTTAGTTATGTCTTGTAACTTAATATAAACTCAAATCAAGCAACTGCAATAGCTCATTTCCCTCGAACAAAAACGACGAGTATCCATCTATATATTATTAACAATATTTGCTTGATTTTCATGGGTTAATCTAAAATCAAATACTAGTCAGATCCAATTAACAAACAGCATCAAAATATGTTTGCCATCAACTTGGAATTACAAAACTAGGAAGTGAAAAAACAAAATTATAAACTACATTCTCGCAAAAGAACACCAAAAAATCCCACATAAATTGAACACAACGTAACAGTTCAAGCAGTACAACTGCCACTAGTGTGTTATACCCAAATCAGTGAACAAATACTTTTATTCCGATCCAAAACACCACCAGAATTTTTTTTTTTTTCTAAATGAATCGATATTACACACTTCCAAACATTTTTTCCATATATACTTCAAAAAAAAAAAGAGAAAAAAAAAAAGGAGTACCTGTATCTGAATGAAATACGCCATAGAACTACAGCAAGCTCTGCTGGCGGCGAATAAAAGCGCATCAAATGAATCAGAGGACCACATTTCGATTCGAATGTCAGTATCCACAAATCCTATGGAATTTCCTCTGTGGTATTCAAAAGCTACGCCCTAAATTTCAGGTCCGATAGATACATACATTATTACATGGATGGGAAGAAGAAAGATAGAAGAAAGAGACAGAAGGAAAAACAGAGGATATATGAAAAAGAGGGGCAATGTATTTTATGAAATATTTTATTCTTTTCTTTTTTTATTTGACTTAATCGACCAATTAGACTTGCCGGCGAAAATATGAAAGGTTTTCTAGAGAGAGAGAGATTAGCTGTAATTTAGAGAGAGAGAGAGTGAAGACGGAAGAGAGCTGTAATTTGTATTAGGGGGGCGGGGGAAGTAGGGTGGGGCCCACGTGTGAGGTGGCACGTGCGGGATTTGCAATAAACGAGGAAGATGCTGATTTATAATCCGAATCTTCACATTCGCTGTCAGTTTCAGCACAACACCCATTTCACAATTCACATGGCTTTCTTTTTTACTTAATTAGTTGATACTGAAATCTACCTTATAAATATTAAAGATTACATTGTGCTACAAATTAAATATTTTTAGATTTCTTCGTACTACTTCTCTATCAGTCCACGATTTTTTTAGGCATGATACGCCAAAGTTGCACGCCGGCAATCACCCTCGATTCATGTAGGGTTATATATTTGTGGGTTGGATACTGGCAACTTGTTTGTTTATCGGCTGTCAAACTAACTTTTGCAAATTTTGAAACTTATCATTGACCCAACATATATGGATTTTGTGATGGTCGACAAGTCAACTTCGTAGGTCGGGTATGGATCGGATCATTTGATGGTTCAGTCCACATATATAACTGATGATATAACTCAAGTATTCATTTGGCATGTGCACGTGGATATGAGTCATAAAATAACAATTCTCCACCTTGACTCATTCATACTCCAGATAGGCTCATTTTATCTCTGCACCATAGCTTCTTACCAAGTTAGCTTCGATCCACCTAGCTTATAACCAAGTTAGCACTGCTTGCAGCAACTCACCAAGTCCACACAATGTTTGAACTTTGAAACAAGTAAAGATTTTGTTAGCATATCAGCAGCATTCTCATCTGTATGCACCTTCTCCACATTGATCTGCTCTTTAGAGACAATGTCTCTCACAAAGTGCAATCTCACATCAATGTGTTTACATCTTATGAAACACTTGATGTTTGGTTAAATGAATTGTACTTTGGTTGTCACAATACACATTCACATTCTACTGCTCAATCCCCAATTCCTGAACAATTCCAACCATCCTCATAGCTTCTTTTATGGCCTCAGTCGCTGCCATGTATTCAGCTTCTTTTGTAGAGTGGTCGCCATTTGCATTTATAAAATCAACTATTTGTGCAGAGTGGATTTTGATATTTCATTTATTAAATCCAATATCGACATTAATATTTAAAGTGGATTACGTTAATTTCATAATGGTTCGATAATTTCAAATAATTATTCATTTTAGTTAATAGAAACAAACTCTTGCTTCCGAGGATTGTGGATTTCAATTTTTTTGCATTTTACTTTTTGGTAAATCTGTTGTTTAAAAAAAACAAAAAAAAAAAAAAAAAAAAAAAGGGCCCTTAAGATATACGTCTCTATTGACAAAACTTATTAGATTTAGAACTAAATAACAACTTTAACTAAACATTTGCTACAAGCACATTCTCATAAAATTAATTCCAAAAATACCAACCCCCCCCCCCCCCCCCCCCCTCGAAATATGCATTAAGTAAAATTCAAATTGCATTTATCATTATTTTTGTCTACAATATTTTCTTTTTTCCATCTAATATTTTATTTCATTTTTACAGAAAACAAATTTTTCTTTCTTTTTATTTTCTCTTTCTTCATTTTAGCATTTTTACACTATTATAAAACATTAAAAAAAATCCCATTTTTCTATATAATATGGAGAAAAAAAAAAGTTGTTTTTCATTTTTTTAATTCAATTTACATATTATTTTATATATTTTTATTTTATTTTACCTGTTATTAATACTGTAGTAGACTATGGTATACTACAGTGTACTATGATATATCATGGTTTACGGTGTACTATGGTTTACTACGGCGTAGTATTCCAAACCCTAGCATCAAAACAAATTCTCAGCCGTCGTCAAACCCTAGCAGCCAACAATTCGCAGTCGCCGCCAACTCTTATCCACCAAACCCTAGTCGTTAACTAAAACCCTAGCGTCGTAAAAAAAATCATAGGTTAGGCAATGGCCTCCCACCATCAATCTAACCTCACACGACCATCTCCACCATAATCATCACCTCTATAACCACGACCACCACGCCATCGCCATAGACATCGCCACCTCCGCTGCCCCTTCTACACTCGCCCCCTTCACCGCATCGCCGTCGAGGTCTCCAAGAACCTCGAAATCTTCGGATATCCGCATCGCCCCCTTCATCCTTTTCTACTGCTCCGCGGCGGATCTGGAGTGGGTCCTCAGAATTTTCAGATCTCGGCGGCGCCGACATCTTCGGGTAACCCCCCATCGATTTGCAAGAGAGAGAATGGGATGGGTTGGACGGCAAACATATGAGAAAATGAGAGAGAGAGAGGTGGAACGGTTGAAAACAAGAGAGAAAAGGTTGGGTTGTGGCGGCTGGAAAAAGAAAGAGCGTGAGAAGAGAAAATGAGAGGAATAAGAGATAAATATAATCCTTTATTATTTATAGGGTTAAATACAAAAACACCCCTATACTATGAACTTTGTATCATATACCCCCATGTACTACACATAAATACAAAAACCTCCCTGTTGTTACATTTTTAACAAAATATGACGAAAATACCCCTGCTGGAGCATATATATATACATAAGGGTTTGTTTGAGTCATTTTTCCGCTATATTCTTTACCATTTTCAGTCCATTTTTCTTGTGAAATTTTGATATTTATATTTTTTTTCTCCAAAACATCTAATTGCTTAAATTATTTTAATTTTCTGAATAAAACCTTTTATTTTTGTCATTTTGAGTTTCTTATTTTTTTTTGTTAAATGTCTTCCGGTAGTTCAAATATCCTAAGATTACAAACATCTTTACAATCCTATGATTGTTCAGAATTTGAACTACCGAAAGTAGGGGTGTGCGCGGGCCATAAACCCGCGGGTTCTATCAAAACCCGCCCTCGTCCCGTCAAACAACGGTTCTTGATTTTGAAGAACCGAATTTGTGGGTTTTTAACGGGTTTATGATAGGCGGGTCCATGGCGGGTTTGTAGTAGGACCCAACCTTTACGGGTCGAAACCCGTTATCGTCTAAACTATTTTTTTTTATATATAATTTATAAGTTTTACGGGAGAATAATTAGAAACTAAAATGAATAACCTAAAATTTTAAATTGAAACCAAACATAAATAATGTAAATGTCAAGAGTAAATAAAAATTAATATAAAACTAAAAATAACTAATTCATAACTTAAAAGACAAAATTTAAATAAAATAAATATAGCTTTTTCCAGCATAACCAACGCTATTCAGCTCCATTATGTGTAGTACAGGGGGTATATGATACAAAGTCCATAGTACAGGGGTGTTTTTGTATTTAACCCTTATTTATATTAAGGGTATTTTCGGGTTAAACAAAAATAAAAGGATGTGTGTCAAATTTTATTTTGAACTAAGAATTTAGTTACAATATTTTATTTGAGGTTGTCATCCACTTCAAATTTTGTTTGTGTTGAGGGGCTCCTATCATATTACCCCTAAACAAAAACCAATTATTAATTTTTGCAACGAAATTAAAAAAAAAAAAAAAAAAAGTATATCGAAAATTAAAAAATGGAAATAACATTAATTGATATGAGAGGTTATTTTAGGGAGAGATTATAATATGATCCTAAATTTTGGTGTTTTGCATATCTAACAATATTTTAATTGATTTTTCATAACAATTCAATAGGTCAAATTTGATATTTTGTTATGCAATGGGTTATCTCAAATATTGAATTTTTTGGATTTATTATTCTATCGAAATTGAACGAGGGATTTGTGTTAAATAGCTCATTTAATCTTCACCTACTCCGTTCAGGGTTATTTCTATGCTACACCCGGTGAAGGTTACACTTGTGATAAGCACTCATAAGTTCACCTAGATCCTCTCGTAATAGATGATTTCATTTCATTTTTTATACTTAGTTTATATTTTATTTATTCAATTAATAATATCCGTGCATTTGATCAATGTGTAATGAAAAATAATACAATACTGTACATCAAAATATTAAAATATGAATAAAATACGAGGGATTTGTTATTCTAGTCAAAAGTTGTGTATTTTGATTTTGGAGTATGCTATGGTCTGGCAACAAGTCTACTAGTCAATATCTTATTGGTAGAATATTCGATATGGGATACCATGAATCATGTGAGAATTAGGTGGAGTTCAGTATAAAAATGAACATGTTGCCCTGCAAATACTTAGATTGCATTTAATAAATCATTACCTCTCATTTTAATATATTTTTTTAATTATCATGTTAAATTTCAAATTTTGAAGACAGACGGACATTAGGATTGGATCCGTGTTTTTTTTTTTTCAAGTTTTACAATAATTTCTCTTTCTTTTCTTTTCTTTTTTTTGTCTTTTTTTTTTTTCTTTTTTTGCATTTTCTAAAATCTATGGGGATGTTTGGTTATGTTTCCAATGAGAATTTCTAGTTTTCAAATTTTTTGATGGAAAAAGTAGTTTATTGGTTTTTGTGTAGAAAATGAGAATATGTTTGGATGAAGGGGAATTTTTAGTTTTATGTAGGTGTAGAAATGAGAATATGTTTGGTTGTGGTGAATTTTCTCTACGAAAGTACGTGCAAAAGTAGAATATAATGATTGAGAATGATGATAGTGATTATTATTATTATTGTTGTTGTTGTT